CGACGCTAAACAAAAACCACCAACCAACCATTAAAATCATTGCTTTATGTTTTTAACTTATGTCTCTTCTTTTAGTTTTATATAATATATTGGTCTGGGTGTGTAGGTATATATATATATATATATATATATATATATATATATATATATATATATATATATATACAGAGATAGATAGATATATATACAGAGATAGATAGATAGATAGATAGAAAGAGAGAGAGAGAGAGAGAGAGATTTTAAGAGTGTTTCGTATTCCTAATTTTCTTATTTGGCAACCCTAACTAAACAAAAGTAAATAAAAAAAGACTATCTTCTAATAAAAAAAAAGAACAAAATAGGAAAAGCTCAATGAAACACACGAGTTGAGAATATTTATTAATAGTCTTGATATCGAATCTAAAGGCGTCAGTTGGTGATGATAATGCTGAGATCAGCCATTTCCATGCAGGAAACATTGGCAATATTCATTGACCGAACAGTTGTCGATTGAAATTTATAAATTTCTTTCATTGAAACAGTTTTTTTTTTGTTTTAGGAAATTACACTTCTCAAGTTTGTTGTTATCGCACGTTCTACTTTTGATGGTAATTTCCTTCCTAACCATTTGTTTAAGGTATTGTAGAAGGTCAAATTCTTTATTATATAATTATTTTTTTTTAGCTACATGTACTATCCAGTTTACTTGTTGCTGTTGTTGGAAATCTTCAAGTGATTTTTTAAAATTTTTTTTGTTTGTGATTCTGTAGCGCCAGTCTATACGATCTGATGAAGAACTATCTTCTTTAAGACTTAGAGGGGTCATTCGTTTGAAGCTATTTCTATCATTGATCTGCGAAAACGGTTGATGATAGTTTAAACATTTCTGGAGTTGGACGCGCCATTCTTGATTCCATATGTCTAGATCTGACGAGGCTGTTTAAGAACATGACTTAGATTCTTAGGTTAATGCTTTTGGTTTTGTAACAGTTTGCAATGTTGGACAAAACAACTCCTGGAGCAACCTATCAAGTATTCAACTTCTTTATCTTCTATAGTAAATTTGTTACATGTGAACCATATACCGAGGTATTTGAAGTGTTTAGAGTTTATTAATTCCACATTTAGAATTTTTTATGATGGATTCAAGGTATAATTACACAGGATGTCCAAAAAGTCACGCGGCAATTGTAAGAAAACTTATTGTTTCGAAATAGCAACTGGGGGAAATTTGCATCAAATCATCTTCCATAATTAGACCAATAAACTTTCCTAGTAACATATTGTTAATATACAGAAACATTATTTCATTTGGTAAATGAATATAAAATTTGCACAGTTTTTAAATGGTGAGGCAACTTTTGGGACACCCTGTATCAATAAATATAGTGACTCTGATTTCCGACAGAGATGAAGAGCTGATGCTAAGTACAAAGTATCATTTTGTATTTCGTCTATGAATCTAACGAGATGAAGATGTTGCTTTTTCGTATTAGACGATAAAAGGACAGGCAGAAACAGTATCAGTGATATTCCTAAGATGAATTGTGGGCGTTTTGACAGCCAGAAAAATGGCTTAATGATTGGCAACTTAAGAGACAAAAAATGGTGTTGGTAATAATTAAATAAAAAAGTGGGTACAGTAAACCGTATGTGCGCTTAAATTATATTCTCTTCAGTAAATCTTGGAAGTATTGAATCTGTTTTGTACGAGGGACGTCTGAAAATTAAGTTACAAAAGTTTCTTACGAATATCCGAAAAGTAAAGTATAAACATTTTCTAATCCAACACATTTATTACTATATAAATAAAACATTGTGCATACAATGTTCTATTTGTATAGTACATTAAAACATTACTAAAATATTAGCATTAAAATATTAAAACATTACTAAAACATTAGCAGCACTTTTTGACGTAGTCACCATCGAGATTGATGCAATTGTTCCATCAATTCAAGCGTGCATAAACACCGTCTTCGAAGAACATGGCGACAAGCGAGTGGAACAGCTTTTAAAATGTCGTCTAAAGGGACCAAACAGATAGTTATTTGAGTTCAGACACATGGCAATTTGAAGGAACTAAAGTTAATTCTATGGCTTGGAAGTATCCATTATCATTGCCTCCACCAAGGATTAAATTCAGTCAGCGAAGAAATGACACGTGCTGATCGCAGATTTGATACACTATGGTCAGGTAATTAATGAAGTCGGATGCTGTGAAAGATTGGTCAAAGAAAATATTTATCAAAAGAGGCCAGAACGTCTTCCTGGTGATGCACGACAACTTCATCTCACACGCGGTCAACCTGATAAAAAGTGACTTCAATAATATGGTTGGGATGTTTTACCGCCTCCATCACATAGGCCTGAATTGGCTCTTTCAGATTATCATGTATTTGGGTCTCTCAAAAGGGTATTTATTTGGGCAGAGATTTTAATAAATAATTTTTGTTGTTGCGTGACCACTATGAAATAGCTGTTTTACGGTTAAATACATTTTCCATTCTTAAAGAAACGATTTAAATGGAGATAAAGATATTTGAAGAAAAATTGTTTCTCTAAATTGGATTGTCCATACTGTTCCCATTTACTTTATATAAGTATAAACTAATCTGGCACAAAGATCGGCCAATTAAGCAGACAGTGAATCAAATTCAATATTAGTAGCTTATGAAACAAGGATGCTTTTACTACGCAATGAACAGGAGTTCCTATATTGTCGTCGGAAAAAAAAAATAAGGGAGATAGAAAGAGAGTAGAGACAGTAGACAGAAAAGGAAAGGAAGAAAAGATGAGACATAGATAGAAAAGGATAAAAGAAGATATAGGCAAATAGAGAAAATGAGAAAAGAAAAGAATAAAAGAAAGAGAGCGAGTAAGAAAAGAGATAGATAGATAGATAGATAGAGAGAGAGAGAGAGAGAGAGAGAGAGAAAGATAGAGAGAAAGATCGAAGGGAAAAAAGAAAGGGAGAGAGGTATATATGTCTGCATGAATTGTAAGGCATGTAAATCCAATCAACCCAATCATGGATACAGAGTTTATCTGATATATATACTTGATAGATATGGAATCGAATGCTAGTCTAAAGAGTCATCTGAGGAGCCATGGACACCGAAACGAGACGGAAGCCATTACAAGTGATGTGACGGGTGAGTGATGTCTGAGTAAGATGTGGCAATTACCACCATGTATTTATGATAGATAGATAAATAGATAGGTAGGTCAACCGTAGTATAACATATTGAAGAATTCTGGTTTCGCAAGCAATTCACTATATGTTATTGGCTGTTGTATCAGAAGATATCTTGTTAGACAATCTGAACTTTTGAACGCCCAGTTTACTGTTCCTCCTTTTCCAACACAGAAGCCCTGAAGGATCTCATAAAAACCAAAAACTTGAAATATCATTTTCGGCAAAGAACCAAGAGAGATTATAGTAACATCATAGTCAGCGCATTGGGCACTTGTACCCCGCTTGGTGCAGCGGAATAACTATCTATTAATCTATTAATCCTTTATATTTTACAACTTTTTCTTACAGAATGTGGACATGTAAAAAATGAATGTTGTTCGAAATGAACAAGGACGATGCGTGTGATCTCTAAATTGACAATACAAGCAATGGATATAGCAGCAAATCTTTTCTTTGAAATCAATTTTGTAATTATTATTATAAATATAGTATTAAAACTATAGCATGGCAGAATGTCTCTAATATAAAATACCGCCGATTGTACCAGTCCCGTGATTATCTTCTCTGTTCAATGATAACAAAATGAATGCATTTTTTACTGTTACTATTGATAAATATCAGCCATTGATAGGATCACAGAGAACCTCTTTATACCGCAACAGTTATACAACTCAGTCGTTCGTTCGATGGATTACAGACGCTACATGAAATTACATTTGAGAAATTACGTCTTAACTTGTTTATGTATGTATTACTGAAATTTCATATATCATTTTTCTGTTTATTGATTGTTTGTTGCGTGAAGATATTGTTTCTCTGAAGATCCCGTTCCACTAGTTTTATTTTTGTTTTCAAAAAGAGTTGCTGCATATTGTTTCAAATCTCCAGCAATTTATTAAAAAAATACCCCAAAACTCACGAAAGAGAATTTTCAGCGAAGCAATATGCTCATACAACAAACAAGCAATAAACTGACCAATCATTAAAAAAAAAAGTTGATACACGCATAAACATGTCCAAAGACAAATTATCAAATTTAATTTCATGTAACAAACGGAAATCTATGGAGTATTGCTGCCATATATGGTCTGGAGCCCCTTCTGTTTTCCTCAGGGTTCTTGATAAGCTCCAGAGGCGGATATGCAATATAATTGGCCCTGTTCTGGCATCTCGTCTACAGTCGCTCTCTCACAGATGCGCCGTCGCCTCTCTCTGTCTGTTTTACAAATACTTTCATGGCAATTGCTCCGAGGAGCTGCATTCGCTGGTTTCCAGACTTCATGAATTCAAGCGCCCTACGAGGCTGGCATCCCACTCTCACCCTTTCACTGTCGAAACTATTAAATGTAGCCGTCTCTTCTACTCCAATAGCTTCATATCTCGCACCTCTCGCCCGTGGAACTCCCTTCCCTATTCCAGTTTCCCTGAGAGCTATAATCTCCAACTATTCAAATGTAATGACATCTCCAGTTGTCTTGATCTATCCACTATCCTTCTCCTCATCCTTTCCTCTATCACTCCTATCTGATCTTGCTCCAAATATTCTGTAACCCCTTGCGTCCTATCTGATTTTGCTCCAAATCTTCTGTAACCTCTTGCGTCCTAGTGGCTTCCCGCCTTGCTTGGGGTGAAACGCTTAAAAAAAATCGAACGCACAGAACTTATTCAGAACCTTACAAATTTCCAATCAATTTGATCATTGGAAATAGAATTGCATTTGTCACCTTAAAGCCAAACAGTCTGTAATGTAAGTTTATTAATCTCGCAACAAGTTAACAGTCATTTTTTTACTGTGTATTCCTTATTGTATTAACGTTGGCCTATGTTTACGCATATCTTTTCGAAGGACATATTTTCTCTTCTCACGTTAATTTTTAGAGATCTTTTGGTTGCATTAATGAAGCCTTTGACACGGAAAGATCTGTGGGTGGCACTGCGTGCGCTTATCCAGATAAGAAGAAAGTGGATTTATTCTAAGTGACAGCCAACTATTTTCAAGGCAATCTACGCCCACTTTTGCATTTAATCTTGTCACATGAATTTGTCTCTTCACCGTCTATGATGCTAGCATAACCGACCGGGAACGTTAAACGTTTCTGATTGGTAGATGCACCAAATCTGCCTTTAGTGGAGTCAAAGGGCCCAGCTGTATTCCTACATGCATCTATCTATCTGTCTATCTATCTATCTATCTATTGTAAAAATAAAAAAAAAGAAAGAAGGGAAAAAAACAGATATTCTTTAAACATAGAAGAATTATTAGCCCAAGTGATAAAAATACAACAACAGCAACAATAGAAACAACAGCAGTTGTTGTAACTCCAGAAAAAAAAAAAACAACAAAATTTAATTGAAACAATACAGAAAATTCCTTAAGATCTTTCAGTCCCGATGCAGTGGCAATTACCATATCTGAATTGACATACAATTCAGATAATTACCTCTTCTGCTTATATTAGAAGATACGAGTAAATTTTCAGAGAAGAATAAAGCAACTGGGAAGACGAAAAAAAAAAACAAAAAAAAACTAGACTTTTGTTGAGAAAGTTAGCATCAGTAGAACATGAAAAATACTGTAATTTTGTATTACTGAAAAAAAACAGGAGAAATTTGCATTGAAGAAACAGTAAATATTCTGACTAAATTTTTTAGCGAGAAAAATTCATTATTCAATACTCGTTGGAAGTATATGAAGCTGATGAAAAAAGAAGATTTTGTCACATATGCTGGAATCATTAACAAGGAGCGTGAAAGATTCAAATTAAACGAACTGACTTCGAATATGTTTAAAGGGTTAATTTTCATTCAAGGGTTAACGGCGAAAAAAACGCAGTAATACATACTAGGATGCTAACGAAACTTGAACAGAATAAAAAAACAAATATTACAAGAAATATCGGACGAATGTCAGAGAATCATAAATTTGAAACGCGATACGGAAGAAATTGATGAAAAAGAATGCGCATTCATACAAGCTAAAGAAAAATGTGGAAAAAGAAAAATTAATCCATGTTTCAAATGTTGAAGGTTACATCTCGGAAAAGACTGTCCTTTTAAGAATTCAAAGTGCTACAAGTGTAGGAAAATAGGACATGAAAGTGCGGAGAAGTGACACTGTAAAATTAAAGCAAGGAAACGTACTCAGTAAAAAATTTCGCACAGCATTGCGACAGAAAAGATGATTACAGAAAACCAAAGAATATTTGTGTCATGGGTCCTTATCTATAACTACAGAATGAACTCTTCCTAATACTATGTATACTACGCCTCTCAAGAGAGAGAGAGAGAGAGAGTCGAATCAAGCCGAGCTTCTCGGCTTGACGGTCGAACTCTCTGCCTGTGAGCAGAGAGGAACCCGGACGAGGCTCCGCCGAAGGGCAGAGTCTCGTTCGGGGAGGTTAACCAACCCGATCCCGTTTATACGGGTTCTACGGGCATTTTTTGGCCGAGCCTACAGGCTCGGGAAACCCACGTTAAACTCAGCCTTGTGCCACATGCAACCCTCGTGGTGGGGTGACTAGATACCGAATCAAGTCGAGCCGATAGTTCACTCCAAACCAGACTGACAGTCATACTAACACCTTCAACATCTTGTATTATTATTTCGTGTAATATACTTTCGTTATTTCTACTCTTGTGTTCATGTTGTTCTTCCTTAGTCCTAACCTGGACCATAACATTAATTGTATTATGTGAAAATTACTAATGTGGATGTAAAAATGCAAGTAGACACTGGCAGTGATATCGTAATAATCACCGAAGCAACGTGGAAAGTAAACGGAAAACCTACTTTAAAAAGAACTTCGAAGATCGCCTGTGGCGTGTCGGGTAAGAAATTATTTATTATTGTTAAAATAACTTGTAGTGTTTCATTTCGTAAAAGCTAAGGCTTAAGTGTTATAAATTATTACAAACTTATTCGCCACTGACGGGATGGAATTATTTGAGTTGTGGAATCTTCCTATAAATATTTATTGCAAAAATGTAAGTGAACAAACTAAAAAAAAAAAAAAAGCGTAAAAATTTAAAGGAAGAATTGAAAAAGTGTTTTCCGGATGTTCTGTCGGATGAGCTGGGTCGGTGTTCCAGAGTCAAAGTGAAATTTCAAGTGAAGAAAGGGTCAATGCTAGTGTTTAAACTGAAACGTAGTGTATTGGATCAAGTCAACGAAGAATTAGTCTGGAAAAATTGGTGTAATTGAAAAGACTGACCATTCAAAATGGGCAGCACCAGCAGTGCATGTAAAGACAAAATTCTTGTTGTTGCTGATTTTTTCGACAGGTTAAACAAATATTTAGAATCTCATAATTATCCATTACTAAGTCGAGAGGAAATTTTGCGAATTTAAACGATGGAAAAATTTTTTCGAAGCTGGATCTTTCTGAAGCGAATTTGCAAATACCCGTTGAAGAATGATGTTCAGAGTTAATAACTATAAATACGCACAAGTGATTGCATAAGTTTAATCAAACTCCTTTTTGGGATAAAAGTGGCTCCAGCTATATTTCAATAAACTATGATTGCTATGCTTGCAGATTATGATTTTGCAGTTGCTTATCTGGATGATATATTAATTAAAAGTGTATCTAAGGAACAGCATATCGGACATGTGAAAAGAGTTTTTGAAAAAATACGAGAATACAGGTTCAAACTCGGTGAGGAAAAGTGCGAATTGTTTTTGTCTAAAATCAAGTACCTAGGACAAGTAATGTACAAAAATGGTCGTCAACCAGATCCGTCGAGGCCAAGTGCAATCAAGAATATCCCTCCCCCAACAAAACGTTATTAGGTTACAAGCATTTCTGGGACTAGCAAACTATGATCAAATCTATATATCTAATATGCAGAATTTGTGAGCTCTACTGAAAAATTTGCTTAAAAAAGGCGCGAAATAGAACTGGACTGATAAATGTCAGAAGGCGTTTGAAGAAATCAAGAAAATACTAATGTCAGGCTTATCTTTAGCACATTATGACCCAAAAGCAGAAATCGTATTGGCTTCAGATGCTAGCGACTATGGTATAGGAGCAGTAATTCTACATAAATATTATGACGGTAACATGAAAGCCGTCGCACATGCATCGCGTGCGCTACTTTGGTTTGGTTTCGTTTACGGCATATCAACCTCAATAGGTTATTTAATGCCGACAAAATTTTTACTGCTGGTAGTATTTTTTTTTCCCAAAAATGTATTGTTGGTAATATTTTTTTCTTCAAGAAGTCTATTTCTGGTAATATATTTTCATCAAAATGTATCGCTGGTAATATTTTTTAAAATATGTATAGCTGGTAATTTTTTTTTCCAAAATGTATAGCTGGTAATATTTTTTTTCAAAAATTTATTGCTGGTAATAATTTATTGCTAGTAATGATTTTTTCCTTCAAAAATTTATTGCTGGTAATAATTTTTTACAAAGTATTTCTGGTATTAAAACCTATTTTTACACTTTCATAGTGTTTTGACCCCAGTTTGGGGGTTAACTGTTTGCCCATAGCTGGGACACTAACAGGTACTACTATCCCGGGTCAGAGTGGACCTGGGAACACCAGCAATCAAGAGGTGGTTCCACGCTCCCCAAAACTTCTTGATCAGAGGCCTTGCTATCGGACGTAGTTTATCGTTTTACCCAGGACGCGGATGTAGTTTATCGTCATACCCAGGGCAAATAAACTACAGCCAAATCGAAAAAGAGGCGTTAGCAATAATATTTTCAGTGAAAAAATTTCACAAATTTATACACGCAAGGAGTTTTCGTTTACAGAAGACCATCATCCTCTATTATCAATTTATAGTTCGAAAAAAAAAAAAAAGGAATTCCTACGCATACAGCGAATAGATTACAGCGTTGGGATGCCATCTTATTAAATTACGATTTCAAGATGGAATACCAATGGTCCAAAAATTAGGACATACCGATGGTTTATCCAGATTGATACCAAAAAATACCGAACCGTCTGAGGACATTGTTACTGCAGCATTAAAAAGTGAAATAGAAACTTAAAATATATTATGCAATGTAGTACGCGTACCACCAGTTGCCCTGGAAGAAATAAAAGTAAAAGCAGAACAAGACATGTTTATTTCAAAAATAAAAAACGACGAAAAGAAAGTAAGAAAGATAGACGATTTTTAGAACGCAATTCAAACTTGAATACTTAATCGTTCTGTGACGGAGTAATAATGTTGGCACAAAGAGTAGTAATACCTATCATATTACAAATGTGACGTCACCCTATCCTCTTCTGCTCCCTTGTCCTGTGACGACCAATGTGACTTGGTATTATTCGCGGCGCCAAATGTGACGTTCTAATCCTTGGCTGATTCGGATGGGAATCTGGTTAGATTCGGTATCAGCTTTGTCGTTCTCAGCTCGCCTCCAACGTCTGGTTACCGAAGTAACTGCTTTGATTTCTAGTCTAACCTACCCACGTTGTGATTTGATCTTAGGTAGACGAAATCAATCAGTCGTCGGGCCGTAAGGCAAGCCGAATTCGAGCAAAGGTGACATTGCACAAGTATATGTAAAAGAAAATAAAGTAACAACTCGAAAGATTCAGATGTGTTAAAAAAAGAATAACAAATATCTTTATATCTGATTGCTGAATATAGGACTGAGTCTTTCTCCCAAACCGCTTCTATGGATACGTGACACTTTGCGTTTCTTAGGCGAGTCTTAATATCTTAAGTTGTTTTTCAAGAAACTGGTTTTTGGTATCTTCAGGCGATATTCGTAAAACTCGTTTTGGTGGTGTGAGTCTAAGTCGTTCTTCAAAAATAAATTGTTCTTGGTTAGAAGTCTAAGTCAGAATGCGTGGATCTTTCAGTCAGCAGCGAGGCTGGACTCCGAGCTTGCAGCTCAACTCTGTCTGCTTTGTCACTCTGTCTGCGTCTGCCCAACCGCCACTGTCTCTGCCCTGTGACTCCGTTTATATGGACGCCGACCAAAACCGGGTGAGGGCCTGTCGTGGTTTGGGCTCCTCGATAATTCCAAATCCACAATAAGAATTTTCTGTTTTCGGACAGGAAAATTTATCACTTTCCATTTTTGGAAGTCCATTACTTTCTGCTTTAGAGGGGTTCTTAAGGGAATCATCCTCCCAAATTCTCCCTTTCTCATATTGGTATCTCACACCAATATCCTCAGAGGGCGTCAACAGGATTCCCTTCTTTCTCATATGTTTACCTTGCCCATCGCTCACGCCACGATTCAGCTAATGAACGCTCGGCAGCGTGGGTGTGGCTAGACTGGCCTCAGTTTACAATTATCGCTCAAAGAAAAAAAATTATCTTCCTTTTTCTTTTCTTTATTTTCCCCGACCAGACCCCCCCCCCACGACACGTAGGGTGGTCCTTAATCTCTATCTTAACTGAATCTCATCTGGAATTTATCAACGAGATTCTCGTCAAGTGATTATCAGAATCTCCTTATATCCTTAACGCCTTCGTACTTCTGTCGCCAACAATCCGTCCCGGTAACAAACTTTTATCATGGCCTGGTCTGGACATAAAACAGGTGGTTTCTTTCCAAAATCAAATGATATCTCCGAAAGATAGTTAATGGTTTATTCTTTTCTTTTTTGTCTTTTCCCTTCCTTTTTCTTTGGGGTGGTCTCAGCTGATCTCTTTTCTCGGTCGCATCCTCGACCTGATTACGATTATCTTCCAGCATTTCGCCCTGCTAGCCACTTGACCAATTTGAAATTTTCATTATTGCCATGGGCAGATTGCTATCTGCCCTTCCTCGCCGCTTCATGTCATAAATTAATTCTGTCAGATCCGAGATCTTACGAACTTCCTATCTTCTGCGGAAAAAATACTTTTCTTCGCAAATGAAAATAAAATCTTTACCACTTTTCTTTGTTAAAAAAAATTAACATCGCTCAGTATGTCTTTCGTGATAGCTTCTTCTCGCCTTAAGTATTTCTCGCTTTTAATTTTCATGCTTAATTAGTTAGCCAAACGCTAAATAGTGTCACACAAAGGCGGATATCAAATTAATTTCATAGTGGACATCCAGGAATTTCAAGGATGAAATCTCTTATGGGAAAATAAAGTATACTCGACCAAAATGGATCAAGACATTGAAAGATTAGTAAAAGTCTGCAGAGGTTGTGCTCTGGCAGTAAATCACCTACCACGAAATTACAACCTTCGGATAACGCCGACTCCCAATACACCGTCAGACACGTCACCGGCAGAATTGATATTCGCAAGAAAAATTAAATCGGTGTTCGACAAGTTGTTACCAGGTCAAAAATGAATAAGAACGGATAATAAAAAGGACACAAACTTTTTCAAAATTGTCGAAGAAGTGTTGTTCAGAGTATATAAAAATGGAAAAGAAATGTGGAAAGACGACGTAATAAGGTATTGAAAAAATGGTATATATGATAAAAGGAAAAAAATGGCATTGGAATTAGTTAAAGAAAAAGTTTACTGAAGAAAGACCCGCAAGAAAGGAAGAACATGTGCAAGTACTGTATTATATTTTTGACGTCATAAACACCCCAAGATTTCGTTGAACGTATAAGGATGATTATCAGAAAAAGGAAACATACGGAAAAACTAGAGGTTTACCCAAAACGAAAGAAATACAAAGTTCAGTACGTGGCAAATATTGTAGAAAGAGTAGGAGGTAAATATTAAGAATAAGACGCCTTAAATAAAGAAATCAAAGTGAGTCAGGAGTTCGCTAACTGGCTTGTCATTGTCAAGCTCTCTGTCTTCGAGCAGAGTCGGGACTCTGTCTACGGACAGAAACTCGGCAGAGAAGAATAAACAAAAAATAACATCTATCTATCTATCTATCTATCTATCTATCTATCTATCTATCTCATTCTGTTAATATCTATCTATCTGAGACATAATATTATAACTACTAGGAGCGAGTTATAACATCTATCTATTTATTTCTATCCGTATCTATCTATCTATCTATCTATCTATCTATCTATCTCATTCTGTTAATATCTATCTATCTATCTATCTATCTATCTATCTATCTCATTCTGTTAATATCTATCTGTCTATCTATCTGAGACATAATATTATAACTACTAGGAGCGAGTTATAACATTTATCTATTTATTTCTATCCATTAATATCTATCTATCTATCTATCTATCTATCTATCTATCTATCTATCTATCTATCTATCTCATTCTGTTAATATCTATCTATCTATCTATCTTTTCATATCGAATGAGATCACTAAACTAGTTGTAAAAATTATAGAATGACTTTCTCGTCATAACTTCTACCTTGTTCTCGCCATCACATAATGAACCCTTGTATAGATCTAAATTTTAGAACTATTTTCATCTTAACTTCTTAAAGGACGCAATGTATACAACATACCATTGAATAAAATACACTGATGATTGTTATCCCGTATTATTAATATTATTATTATTATTGAGTGAAAGTGTAGCGCTCCAATAAATTTACGTTGGGATAAAAATATACGAAGCCCAATGTATTCGTCACAACACCCAGTCTGATAAGGGTATACCAAGCACATGCATCACAGCCAATTGTCACTACATAGTGATAGGTTTTTCACAAAAGCAATATATAATGTTACAGACGGGACCCAGTTAGAAATACTTTAAGGTCGAGTAACCCCGTTCGTTGAGACGTTCTCTGATTGAGTGTATCCTCAAGTCATTAGATGTAACTCTCGTCAACTTGGCTGATTCATCTTTGAAATTTAAAGAAAAAAACAGTCCACTCGGCACCCGGAGATGCATAATGGGCCAGTCCGTAGGTGACACGCCCGGGTGGTTATGGTCAGGCAACTGACAATCAAATCTGTCGGACTGAACGAGATATGAACTGTAGACCATCGTAATTCATCAAGACAAAAACATGTACATGTTAACACTTCCAATTAATTAAGATCAGAATTTATGAGAGCCATGCCTTATGTATTATTATTATTATTGCTATTATTATTTCCTTTGATTTCTGTTGTGTACACATATCTTTCCGGGTCCCAACCAGAGATCTAAGGTCAGAAATGGCTTTATGACATTTTATACTAATCAACTTTGTAAAAGAAAACCAAACCAAAACAAAACCCCTAAGATCACACACATTTTACAGAGATAAACATTTTCGTAATGTGTGAGCTGTACTTGTGAGTACAATTTTTGTATTTCTTTAAGACATGGGCTACCAAGAATCCCTTAAATGAGTCTATCGGAATCTTTTCCAATCAAGCCAGGGGTTCCAACCACAACTGGAATTATTAATTATCCTAGTGCGCCACATTTTTTTGAGATTTCCACGTCAAGAGCCTTGTATTTTGATAATTTTTTTTGAAGATCTACAAAAATACACTGCCATCTGCAACAACTACTATGTCAATAAGAAAGCACTTTCGGTTTTTGTGGTTTATTATTATTATTATTATTGTTATTATTTGTGTATGTTATGTTTCCTGTTTTGTATCCTGTAGAGCTGGGTGCAAACTATGGCCCTTAGGTCCTATAGGAGAATTATCATTTAATTGATAGCACTTTTCTTAGCATATGGGATGTTCCTAGTAAGGCGATCTTCTGGGCAACCTGTATGTTGATGTTACCTGGGACGCTATTAGTAAAATTTTCCATTCCTTTCCTCACGAGGCCCAGAGCTTCGATGACATTCTCAGTCTTCATTCCTCACATCCTGTTAATCTCGATTTCCAGGTCTTTGTATTTGGACAATTCCTCGATAATTTTCATGAGGTATTTCTCTCAGATGGTACTGCTATGTGAATAAGCACATTATTATTATTATTATCATTTTTATTTTCTATGATTTCTGGCGCTTACACATTTCTTTCCGGGTCCTGCCCAGGGACCTAAGGTTAGGAATGGCATCATGACACTTTCCACTGACAAAAAAAAAAAAAAAAAATACATAGATAAAGCCCTTCGTAAAGTGTGGACTGTTATTTTTTGTATCTCTTTGAGGCATGGACTTCCAGGAATTCCTTCAATTAGTCTACTGGAATCTTTTCCAACCAATCCTAGGGCTTCAACTACAACAGGGATTGTTGATGTTCCCATATACCACATTTTTTAAATTTCTATTTCAAGGTCCTTGTATTTTGACAGCTTTTTGAATATCTTCAAAGATATATTGCAGTCAGCAGGGACTGCCATATTAATAAGGAGGCACTTTTTTGTTTGTGGTCTTTAATAACAATGTCTGGGCGGTTGGCTTTGATTGTTCTGTCAGTGTGTATTATGTAGTCCCATAGAATTGTAACAGGTCCTATCTCCGTAACCGGGTCTGGGTGGTGTTCATACCATTTTCTTTCAGTTTCCTTCCCGTAGAAGTTGCAAATTTTCCAGTGCAGATATTGGTCCACTCTGTCATACCGTGTTTAATATTCAGTGGTTGCCAATATCATGCAACCTAATACAAGATCATTTTTGGATATTTATCACAGAATCTGCATTTTGGGCTAACACAATATTTTAGTATATGTGCTTGATAATTCCTAGTTAACAAGCATTGGTCCTGTGCAGCAAGGATAAAATCTTCAGTTTCAGCTTTCAACTCTGCACTACGTAGCCTCTGATGGGTACGGGTTTTGTCTACGTCAGCTTGTTTGGTACTTGCAGAGTATTGGCCATGAAGCGGTTTATCTTGCCATCGCTTCTGTATCTGGTCGGTTGCATTTGTCTTTGCTGTCTTTTAAAAGTATTTTATTATTATTATTATTATTATTATTATTATTATTATTATTTCGTATGATTTTTGGTGTATACTCATTTCCTCCCGGGTGCCATACTAAGGTCAGAAATGGCTTCATAATATTTTCCAGTGAATATTTTTGCAAAAAAGAATAAAAATAAAACAACCTAAGATCACACATATTTTACATAGAAAAATCACTTCGTAAGATGTGAGCTGTACAATCAAAGATTTATTCAATGAGTATATCAGAACCTCCCCAGTCAATCTCCGGGTCCCAATCACAACTGCAATTATTGATATCTTCATGTACCACATTTTTTAGATTTCCACTTCATGATTCATGTATTTTGATAGTTTTTCAAAAGATCTTCAAAGCTACATTACAGACTGCTGGAACCGCCATGTCAATCAGAATTTTGCTTTTCAATCCCAACCGAGGGACGACAGCTTAGTGGAAAAAGTATTAACGATTTAGTATTGAATCACAAATACACACACACACACACACACACACACACACACACACACACATTTATTTCTTTCGTTCTGATCTGAGGAAGGCTGTCTAACGATGGTCAAACATCTAGTTCTTCGATTGTTCTTCGACCAAAGACTAAAATTGAAAAAAAAAATATGTGTGCGTGAGTATATCGTGAAACATTTGATTTGAAAGAGAAATCCTTTTCGATATCCGATGAAAAGAAAAAAATCGTTTCTTCACTTAAATTTCAACTCTGACAAGAATTATTACGTAAAATGCGTTATCAAATCTTTTTATTTTTTTTTTGTTGTATGTTGGAGGCATCCACTAAGTCTGATACAGAGTCACACAACTAAAGCAACCAGTGACGATCAAACTATTAGCAATGATATGAGGTGGGCGCCTAAGATATTTATTAACCTTGTCTGGATCATGTAATTGTTGAGCATTTAGTGACGAACAAATTTATTATCTTCACAAATAGTTTATCCTACTTTTCTAGTCACTTGTATCGTGTATAAATATCAATTTTATAAAATAAATTTACAATTTTATATATATTGAAAAAAATTACTGGACACTTAAGAACGCGAAATGCGTATACGAGAGAATATCATGGAAGAATGTCATGACCGAATGAGCTACGCCTTGACTCAACAGACATGAAGCTTTGAACGTCGCAGAAGCATCGAATGAAACATACAGACGATATATCTTTTGAAATCTGATTCTGTTCAGGGTGTAACCGGCCGGTGCCAGCGATCTCCACACAAAAGCTGCGCATGCTTTTCACTGTCCTATTTCTTGATAGGCCATATTTATTTTTAGGATTTTGCTGGCAACGACTTTCATTCAATATCTGCTTGGCTTTTCAGTGAATTTATTAATTCATTTTTGTTTACATCAACAGTGCGTCTTCACATCGAATCCAGGTTTATTGTTTTTTTTTGTTTTTTTTTTTTAGGCAGATTTATTCCAAGCAAGGCAGTAAAGCCGCTAAGACACAAGGGGTTACTGGGTATGAAAGAATTAGAATATAGAAACATTGTGAAGGCGCGAGAACAATAGAAGAGTAATCAAGAAGACAGCTGATAACGATACAATGCATTATAAATTTTTGAAGATCAAAGTTGTCCGGAGAGCATGGGGCTGGAAGAAAGTTCCACAAGCAAGAATTGCGAGAAGAGAAACTGTCAGCATAGAATTTACGGCCAAATGAAGCCAATTCAATCGTAAATTGATGGGAACTTGTTGTCAATCTAGTACAGCGATTTAATTCATAAAGTTTAAGTACCATAGCTAAGAGCTTATCCGAACAGCTACCATGAAAGTATTTATAGAAAAGGAGCAGAAAAGGCGGTGGAAAAGTGACTGAAGTCGAGACGCTAGGTCAGGACCAATAATATTGCTGATTCTTCTTTGGATTTTATCAAGTATCTTTAAATATATAGCAGGAGCACCTGACCATATGTGGCAGCAATATTCTAAGCATGGACGAATGGCAGGCTTATAGATATGTAAGATAGATTCTGGCGAGAAAAATTGTCTATCACGACACAGTGAACCAATTTTCTTAGCATACATATGCATCTTGGCTTTTCTTAGATGCTATTTGGTAAGCTGTTGCCAGACAAACAACCGTAGCTATATCGTTACACTCTAACAATCTAGAACATTGGTCCTTGCAGATGTCAGTTGGCTGATCTTACTGGGGTGTGGTGCATCCTGTCAAGACAATGTAGCAAGATTAAATTTCCTAAATTACACATTTTTAGTGACTTTTGCACAAAAATTTTTTTTTTGCAATGAAAACATATTTGTTGTATTTCCTTCAAGTTCGAAGGAAATACAACAAATAAATCTTATACTACAAATAAATAAGTTATTACAAGTGTAAAAGTAAAAAATTTCCTTAAATTTCTTAAGTCAACTACAGTAGTCAATTACTATCGCAAACATTTAGGTGTCTTTGACGGAAAGAAGAGAGAAAAACTATAGGAAATCAAATCAAGTACTTACTGGGATTTTTTCCTTTTCCTCGTTCGTC